ATGCAATATTTATCCCTTTGTGTTTGACTTATTTCACTCAGCATAATGTCCTCCAGTTTCATCTATGTTATAAGATGTTTTGAGAACTCACCATTAATCTTTATAACTGCAGAGTATTCCATTGTATGTATGTACCACAATTTGTTTATCCATTTACCCGCTGATGGGCACTTAGGTTGTTTTCATCTTTTTGACATTGTGAGTAATGCTGCAATGAACATAGGTGTGCATAAGTCTATTTGAGTCACTGCTATTAGCTCTCTGGGTTATATACCTAGGAGTGGGATTGCTGGATCATAACGTGTTTCTATTTCTAGCTTTTTGAAGAAGCATCATACCATTTTCCACAGTGGCTGCACCATTTTACAGTCCCACCAGCAACTCCACCAGTGTTTGCTGTTTTCAGTTTTTTTCATCAGTGCCATTTTTGCAGAGAAGTGAGATGGTACCTCATTGTAGTTTTGATTCATGAGCATCTTTTCATGTATTTGTTGGCTGCCTGAATGTCCTCTTTGGTGATGTGTCTGTTCATGTCCTTTGCCCATTTTTTGATTGGATCGTTTGTCTTTTTGTTGTTGAGTTACTGAATTTTTCTATATATTTTAGAGATTATATCCTTATCAGATACGTCATTGCCAAGATTTTTTCCTAGTCTGTAGTTTCTCTTTTGATAAAGTCTTTTGATAAACACAAGCACTTAATTTTCATGAGGTACCAGTTATCTACTTTGTCTTCTGTTGTTCATGCATTTGTAGTTGTGTTTGATAGTTTATTTCTTAATAATTAACAATTTTCAAATGAAACTTTTCAAAAAGCCTACCTTTCTGTCCAAATAGAACTCAGATAGCATCTTCTCCCTGAAGACAAAGAGACAGGCGGAAGCACTGAATTTGGAGTCCGACAGACTTAGGCTTAATCTTAGATAAGTTATTTTATCTGTTTCCTTATCTGTATATTACTTAAAGGGTGGTTGTGAGGATTAAATGAGAAAAATATACCAGGCACATTTTAGATAATAAATGTTAGTTCCACTTCCCCCAACAGCCCCAATCTCTTCCTGCTTCCTGCCTCATATCAATTTCACTTACCAAGTCTACACTGAATTAGAATTATTTGTATACTTACCTCTACTTCCCACCTCCCCCTCTAAATCATAAGCTTTTTTGTCCCTGAGTGGCACAAATGGTTTGTATTCGACTACTAAACTAAAGGTTGGCAGTTCGAACCTATCCAGCAGGTTCTTGGAAGAAAGACCTGGTGATCTGCTTCCATAAAGATTACAGTCAAGAAAACCCTATGGAGCAGTGTCAGAATTGACTTGATAACAACACATTTTTTGTTTTTCTTGTGGGCAAAGATATGTGCCTAGCTTGTAATAAATACTCAACTTTGTTGAATAGGATTGAAATAGCACAATCTAGAAATAAAGACTGGTATCCAACTTTAATATCTTCTTCTGATTTAGAGATAAGAAATAACTTTTTTAAAGTAATTTAACTGAAACATTAAATAAATTTGGGGAAATCTTTAGAAAGGTTTATAGAGTCTTTGAAAAAATTGAAAGGCACCCTGGTGGCACAGTAGTTAAGAGCTCGGCTGCTAACTGAAAGATTGGTGGTTC